TGGTCTCTCTCTGGTCTCTCTCTGGTCTCTCTGGTCTCTCTCTGGTCTCTCTGGTCTCTCTCTGGTCTCTCTCTGGTCTCTCTCTGGTCTCTCTCTGGTCTCTCTCTGGTCTCTCTCTGGTCTCTCTCTGGTGTCTAGTTTGACCTCTGGTGTTTGAACTGGGCCATGTGTCTGTGGTGAAATGTTGGTAGGATTATTTATGTCCATGTTTATCATATCGTTTTGTGTGTCTCTGTGTGTGTCTGTGTGTGTCTGTGTGTGTCTGTGTGTGTGTGTTTGTTTATTTAGGACCCACGGGACCCAGAGGAGAGAAGGGTGACACTGGAGAGACAGGGCAGAAGGGCGAGCAAGGAGCCCAGGGAGAGAAGGGAGATAGCAGCAGCAGAGGAGGAGCAGGAGGCGGAGGAGGTGGAAAGGTAAACAAGGAGGAGGAGGAGGTGTAAAGGTAAACAAAGTTCAGGAGAGAGTAGGAACACAGAGCTCTGACTGCAGACGCTGCTCCCTCTTTACCTCAGCAGATACTGGTAAATCGGTGACTGTTTAACCTCAGAGCTGTCGGTTAAAAAAAGAAAAAGGGAGGTCTCTTAATAACACTGTTTTAAACTCTATTTACACAGTGTCTGTCTCTGTGTGCGCCAATGTATCAGTACACACACACACACACACACACACACACACACACACACACACACACACACACACACACACACACACACACACACACACACACACACACACACACACACACACACACACACACACACACACACACACACACACACACACACACCGGTCTGTCGCGCTCGTCTTTCAAACCCCATGGACCATGTTTGTGTTCATGGTCCTTGGCATCAGCTCCACACACACATGGTCACCCGCTGCTCTGACCATGTGGACGTCACTCGCTGCTCTGACCATGTGGACGTCACTCGCTGCTCTGACCATGTGGACGTCACTCGCTGCTCTGACCATGTGGACGTCACTCGCTGCTCTGACCATGTGGACGTCCCTCGCTGCTCTGACCATGTGGACGTCACTCGCTGCTCTGACCATGTGGACGTCACTCGCTGCTCTGGCCATGTGGACGTCACTCGCTGCTCTGACCATGTGGACGTCACTCTGCGCTGACCATGTGGACGTCACTCGCTGCTCTGACCATGTGGACGTCACTCGCTGCTCTGACCATGTGGACGTCACTCGCTGCTCTGACCATGTGGACGTCACTCGCTGCTCTGACCATGTGGACGTCACTCTGCTCTGACCATGTGGACGTCACTCGCTGGTCTGACCATGTGGACGTCACTCGCTGCTCTGACCATGTGGACGTCACTCGCTGCTCTGACCATGTGGACGTCATTCTGCTCTGACCATGTGGACGTCACTCGCTGCTCTGACCATGTGGACGTCACTCTGCTCTGACCATGTGGACGTCACTCGCTGCTCTGACCATGTGGACGTCACTCGCTGCTCTGACCATGTGGACGTCACTCTGCTCTGACCATGTGGACGTCACTCGCTGGTCTGACCATGTGGACGTCCCTCGCTGCTCTGACCATGTGGACGTCACTCGCTGGTCTGACCATGTGGACGTCACTCGCTGCTCTGACCATGTGGACGTCACTCGCTGCTCTGACCATGTGGACGTCACTCTGCTCTGACCATGTGGACGTCACTCGCTGGTCTGACCATGTGGACGTCCCTCGCTGTTCTGACCATGTGGACGTCACTCGCTGCTCTGACCATGTGGACGTCACTCGCTGATCTGACCATGTGGACGTCACTCGCTGCTCTGACCATGTGGACGTCACTCGCTGATCTGACCATGTGGACGTCACTCTGCTCTGACCATGTGGACGTCACTCGCTGGTCTGACCATGTGGACGTCCCTCGCTACTCTGACCATGTGGACGTCACTCGCTGCTCTGACCATGTGGACGTCACTCGCTGCTCTGACCATGTGGACGTCACTCGCTGGTCTGACCATGTGGACGTCACTCTGCTCTGACCATGTGGACGTCACTCGCTGGTCTGACCATGTGGACGTCACTCTTCTCTGACCATGTGGACGTCACTCGCTGCTCTGACCATGTGGACGTCACTCGCTCCTCTGACCATGTGGACGTCACCCGCTGCTCTGACCATGTGGACGTCACTCTCTGCTCTGACCATGTGGACGTCACTCGCTGCTCTGACCATGTGGACGTCACTCGCTGCTCTGACCATGTGGACGTCACTCGCTGCTCTGACCATGTGGACGTCACTCGCTGCTCTGACCATGTGGACGTCACTCGCTGCTCTGACCATGTGGACGTCACTCGCTGCTCTGACCATGTGGACGTGACTCGCTGCTCTGACCATGTGGACGTCACTCGCTGCTCTGACCATGTGGACGTCACTCTGCTCTGACCATGTGGACGTCACTCACTGCTCTGACCATGTGGACGTCACTCTGCTCTGACCATGTGGACGTCACTCACTGCTCTGACCATGTGGACGTCACTCGCTGATCTGACCATGTGGACGTCACTCGCTGCTCTGACCATGTGGACGTCACTCGCTGATCTGACCATGTGGACGTCACTCTGCTCTGACCATGTGGACGTCACTCGCTGGTCTGACCATGTGGACGTCCCTCGCTGCTCTGACCATGTGGACGTCACTCGCTGCTCTGACCATGTGGACGTCACTCGCTGCTCTGACCATGTGGACGTCACTCGCTGCTCTGACCATGTGGACGTCACTCGCTGCTCTGACCATGTGGACGTCACTCGCTGGTCTGACCATGTGGACGTCCCTCGCTGCTCTGACCATGTGGACGTCACTCGCTGGTCTGACCATGTGGACGTCACTCGCTGCTCTGACCATGTGGACGTCACTCCGCTCACTCGCTGCTGCTCTGACCATGTGGACATCACTCTGCTCTGACCATGTGGACGTCACTCGCTGGTCTGACCATGTGGACGTCCCTCGCTGTTCTGACCATGTGGACGTCACTCGCTGCTCTGACCATGTGGACGTCACTCGCAGATCTGACCATGTGGACGTCACTCGCTGCTCTGACCATGTGGACGTCACTCTGCTCTGACCATGTGGACGTCACTCGCTGATCTGACCATGTGGACGTCACTCTGCTCTGACCATGTGGACGTCACTCGCTGGTCTGACCATGTGGACGTCCCTCGCTGCTCTGACCATGTGGACGTCACTCGCTGCTCTGACCATGTGGACGTCACTCGCTGCTCTGACCATGTGGACGTCACTCTGCTCTGACCATGTGGACGTCACTCGCTGCTCTGACCATGTGGACGTCACTCGCTGCTCTGACCATGTGGACGTCACTCTGCTCTGACCATGTGGACGTCACTCGCTGGTCTGACCATGTGGACGTCCCTCGCTGCTCTGACCATGTGGACGTCACTCGCTGCTCTGACCATGTGGACGTCACTCGCTCTCTGACCATGTGGACGTCCCTCGCTGCTCTGACCATGTGGACGTCACTCGCTGCTCTGACCATGTGGACGTCACTCGGTGCTCTGACCATGTGGACGTCACTCTGCTCTGACGATGTGGACGTCACTCGCTGGTCTGACCATGTGGACGTCACTCGCTGCTCTGACCATGTGGACGTCACTCGCTGGTCTGACCATGTGGACGTCCCTCGCTGCTCTGACCATGTGGACGTCACTCGCTGCTCTGACCATGTGGACGTCACTCTTCTCTGACCATGTGGACGTCACTCGCTGCTCTGACCATGTGGACGTCACTCGCTCCTCTGACCATGTGGACGTCACCCGCTGCTCTGACCATGTGGACGTCACTCTCTGCTCTGACCATGTGGACGTCACTCGCTGCTCTGACCATGTGGACGTCACTCGCTGCTCTGACCATGTGGACGTCACTCGCTGCTCTGACCATGTGGACGTCACTCGCTGCTCTGACCATGTGGACGTCACTCGCTGCTCTGACCATGTGGACGTCACTCGCTGCTCTGACCATGTGGACGTGACTCGCTGCTCTGACCATGTGGACGTCACTCGCTGCTCTGACCATGTGGACGTCACTCTGCTCTGACCATGTGGACGTCACTCACTGCTCTGACCATGTGGACGTCACTCTGCTCTGACCATGTGGACGTCACTCACTGCTCTGACCATGTGGACGTCACTCTCTGCTCTGACCATGTGGACGTCACTCGCTGCTCTGACCATGTGGACGTCACTCGCTGCTCTGACCATGTGGACGTCACTCGCTGCTCTGACCATGTGGACGTCACTCTTCTCTGACCATGTGGACGTCACTCGCTGCTCTGACCATGTGGACGTCACTCGCTCCTCTGACCATGTGGACGTCACCCGCTGCTCTGACCATGTGGACGTCACTCTCTGCTCTGACCATGTGGACGTCACTCGCTGCTCTGACCATGTGGACGTCACTCGCTGCTCTGACCATGTGGACGTCACTCGCTGCTCTGACCATGTGGACGTCACTCGCTGCTCTGACCATGTGGACGTCACTCGCTGCTCTGACCATGTGGACGTCACTCGCTGCTCTGACCATGTGGACGTGACTCGCTGCTCTGACCATGTGGACGTCACTCGCTGCTCTGACCATGTGGACGTCACTCTGCTCTGACCATGTGGACGTCACTCACTGCTCTGACCATGTGGACGTCACTCTGCTCTGACCATGTGGACGTCACTCACTGCTCTGACCATGTGGACGTCACTCTCTGCTCTGACCATGTGGACGTCACTCGCTGCTCTGACCATGTGGACGTCACTCGCTGCTCTGACCATGTGGACGTCACTCGCTGCTCTGACCATGTGGACGTCACTCGCTGCTCTGACCATGTGGACGTCACTCTGCTCTGACCATGTGGACGTCACTCACTGCTCTGACCATGTGGACGTCACTCTGCTCTGACCATGTGGACGTCACTCACTGCTCTGACCATGTGGACGTCACTCTCTGCTCTGACCATGTGGACGTCACTCGCTGCTCTGACCATGTGGACGTCACTCGCTGCTCTGACCATGTGGACGTCACTCGCTGCTCTGACCATGTGGACGTCACTCGCTGCTCTGACCATGTGGACGTCACTCGCTGCTCTGACCATGTGGACGTCACTCGCTGCTCTGACCATGTGGACGTGACTCGCTGCTCTGACCATGTGGACGTCACTCGCTGCTCTGACCATGTGGACGTCACTCTGCTCTGACCATGTGGACGTCACTCACTGCTCTGACCATGTGGGCGTCACTCTGCTCTGACCATGTGGACGTCACTCACTGCTCTGACCATGTGGACGTCACTCTCTGCTCTGACCATGTGGACGTCACTCGCTGCTCTGACCATGTGGACGTCACTCGCTGCTCTGACCATGTGGACGTCACTCGCTGCTCTGACCATGTGGACGTCACTCTTCTCTGACCATGTGGACGTCACTCGTTGCTCTGACCATGTGGACGTCACTCGCTCCTCTGACCATGTGGACGTCACCCGCTGCTCTGACCATGTGGACGTCACTCTCTGCTCTGACCATGTGGACGTCACTCGCTGCTCTGACCATGTGGACGTCACTCGCTGCTCTGACCATGTGGACGTCACTCGCTGCTCTGACCATGTGGACGTCACTCGCTGCTCTGACCATGTGGACGTCACTCGCTGCTCTGACCATGTGGACGTGACTCGCTGCTCTGACCATGTGGACGTCACTCGCTGCTCTGACCATGTGGACGTCACTCTGCTCTGACCATGTGGACGTCACTCACTGCTCTGACCATGTGGACGTCACTCTGCTCTGACCATGTGGACGTCACTCACTGCTCTGACCATGTGGACGTCACTCTCTGCTCTGACCATGTGGACGTCACTCGCTGCTCTGACCATGTGGACGTCACTCGCTGCTCTGACCATGTGGACGTCACTCGCTGCTCTGACCATGTGGACGTCACTCGCTGCTCTGACCATGTGGACGTCACTCTGCTCTGACCATGTGGACGTCACTCACTGCTCTGACCATGTGGACGTCACTCTGCTCTGACCATGTGGACGTCACTCACTGCTCTGACCATGTGGACGTCACTCGCTGCTCTGACCATGTGGACGATCAGTCTTTTGTTTAAAATGCTTTAACCCGCAGCACAGCAGAATGGGAAGATTAAAACAGCAGTTCTCTGTGCTCAAAGGTGCTGAAGCTGTTGTGGGTTTTGGCGCCTCTGTCTCGGTTCTGATCCAGTAGAACGCAGAGCTGCACTTATGAAAAGTATGCGGCTTGAAATGGCTCAAAGAAGCTGGGATATTTTAAACTACGCGGTTAACCGGTTTTTTACATCCCTAACAGAGACCATCACAGAGACCGCTGGTCCTGGTCCACCCTGGAGAGGACCAGAACCCGGGACCAGGACCAGGACCAAGACCAAGACCAGGACCAGGACCAGGACTGTCCTCTGGTCTGTGACTTTGACTGTAAAAGTGTAGTGGCTCAGAGACAGCGCCTCCTGTTGGACCAGTCTGGACTCTTCTTTGATCTCATGGTTTCATCTTGTTTTTCAGGGAGAACCAGGAGAGAAGGGGTCAAAGGTCAGTGTACCAAGTGTCATTTATCTGAACTCTGACAACCCATAAACACCTAAGCACAGGGACCAGCAGTGTACACACCTGCAGAGCACAGGGACACACGTGTGTGTCCACATGGTCTCTGGTGTCACATGTATGGTCAGAGGGCATCCCTGACCCTGACTCCGCCCTCTGACCCCTGACCTCTGACCCTGACCTCTCTCCTCAGGGTAACGCTGGGTTTGGGTACCAAGGCTCCAAAGGAGACCGTGGCCCCCCTGGTCCTGCTGGTCCTCCTGGTCCACCTGGTCCTCCAGTTGAGTTCTCTGTGAGCAGTGATGGGACCGTGGTGGTCCCTGGACCCAGAGGCCCCCCAGGGGCCCCAGGACCTGAGGGCCCTGCAGGAGAGGACGGAGAACCGGTCAGTCTCTAGGCAAGGTCTTCAAGAACCAGGACTCTCTCTGGTCTCCCTCTCTGGTCTCTCTCTTGTCTCTCTCTCTCTGGTCTCTCTCTGATCTCTCTCTGGTCTCCCACTGGTCTCCCACTGGTCTCCCACTGGTCTCCCACTGGTCTCCCACTGGTCTCACTCTGGTCTCTCTCTGGTCTCTCTCTGGTCTCTCACTGGTCTCCCACTGGTCTCCCACTGGTCTCTCTCTGGTTTCTCTTTGGTCTCTCACTGGTCTCCCACTGGTCTCCCACTGGTCTCCCACTGGTCTCCCACTGGTCTCACTCTGGTCTCTCTCTGGTCTCTCTCTGGTCTCCCACTGGTCTCCCACTGGTCTCCCACTGGTCTCACTCTGGTCTCACTCTGGTCTCACTCTGGTCCTCAGTCTGATGTGTGTTTGTGTTTCAGGGAGATCCAGGAGAAGACGGGAAAACTGTGAGTTTCACAAACACATGACTTAGAGACATTTAAAATATGAAATAACACGTGTGTGTGTC